TGTGTGTGTGTGTGTGTGTGTGTGTGTGTGTGTGTGTGTGTGTTATGCGCGCGCATGCAAAGTTGTCCTTTATTTGGTTATTGATCCAAAAGTAACTATCATCTAGTAACAATCCATTCTCATTTTGAGTATTGGAAATAGTTCAGTGTAAACTGCATTTAATGTAAAATAAATGAAACTAATTAAGTTTCATTTCCCTAACATAAGATCAAACAAAGAATGAGAACAATAGTGTAAGTTACATTAATAGTTACATTAATAGTTTTTTCTGCTGTGCCGTGTTTGGAAGAGGTGAAGTGAAACTGTCATAAAAGCCCATATTCACATGTGACTATGGCCACTTTTAAGCTTTCAACAGGTGACACTATTGATCAGCCTGAGTCCCAGTGCACCCTGACAGTTAAACAAAGCACAAATTATGCATGGATTTAAAAGAATGGAAGAGGCAATTGATCTTTGAGGGGGAAAGGGGTTTTATAGTAGCCTAAATAAGCTGTAATCCTTGAGCAAAATTAAGATTTTCACTTATACAGTTATTTTTTTTAATAAACCGAGGTTTAAAAGTTAGCTATGTCATGAAGTCACACGCCATTCTTTGATTTTTCCCGAGAGAATAAATCAGGTTATTTCAGTGTTTAATCTAAAGGACCAAACTCAAAACCATCCTGTTTAACCAACTTTGCCATTCAAGGTTTTTCAGAAATATTTGCAGTAATTTTTCCTTCTTTTATGCACATGCAACATTTCAGTATGATGCACCTGTTTTGTAAATAAATCCATAAAGTTCTACATAGAAAACCTGTTGAAAGAACACCAGTGCTTACCTGTACAAAGTGCACCACATGTTAAACAGAGGAGAAGCATACACGCCAACTGTGTCTGCATCTTGATCAGAACAAAAAAATCTGAAAAGAAATACCCCAAAAGAACAAAAAAACGATCCCACACTGAAGAATTCACCTGAAGAGGAATCTAGTCCATAAGGTTAGGGGCCAGACACAGACAAAGAGAGGCTGGAGACACAATTTAGTGAAGCTGCTGTTTTGTTTTTTCTTGTTCTTCTTCTTCAGATCTATACACACTTAAGCAGTTTCTGCTGCTGGGATGTGAAGCACAGTGGGCTCCATTCCCTGGGTATATAAGAGCCAAAATGATGTCACAGCATCTGCCCCCCCCCTTACCCCACCCACACAGACACACATCTTCATCCCCACCTTCCCACCCATTACCACATCCCACTCATTCTCCTGTGTCATCAGATGTTTCATCCGACGACACTCCGGCATCATGACGTGAAAGGTTTTTGCGTCAAGGTTTTGAAGATGTGGTTATTTCCCTTCATGAATGCACACAGTCCGAGGTTAGTTTTGCCTCATGTTCCACTGATGGGTACCAGCAGTGATGAGGCAGGATGAACGAATCAGCCTCACTTTTTGCTTCACAGTTTGAACAGTCTTTTCATTTTTTTTCTAATTCACCAGGTTGTTGTCTTGGTTAACAAACAAAACCACTACATGCTAAAGGCTCAAATATTGGTGACGATTACAATTTAATTAACGTGAAGGCACAACTCTGTCCATGTTTCTCTAAAGCAGGTTTTACTTTGTAATAGCTTTTTTTTCTTCTATAAATTCCCGCTGACATAAATGTAATCCATAAACCAACAAATAGCTTGAAATTTATTACTGCATTGCATGATCATCACAATCAGTCCACAACCTGCAGATGTTGGGATTTCTGTTTTTTGACTTTAATAATAAAAAGCTTTTTCACTGGAGCTTAACCTGGCTTTCACAACTTGTTAAGAGGACCTTGGAAACAATGACTAAGAAAATAATCTTACCACCAGGTCTGTTTGGTAGATTTTTGAAAGCTTTCTATCAAATATCCTCCAACTTTATTTCTCTTTTTAGGATTATATTTTTGCTTAATTCCATAGAAAACACTTTTAAATCAGCATACTTACTCTATGAACTTAAGAGCAAATATAAACTCATGCACTAATTTCTGATTCATTTTGTTAGTGTAGTTTAAATAGAGCTGTTTTCTGGTTTTGTTGCCAGAGATGGGCAGTAACGCGTTACAAGTAACAAGTAACGCGTTACTGTAATCCAATTACTTTTTTCAAGTAACGAGTAAAGTAAGGGATTACTATTGCAAAAACGGTAATTAGATTACCGTTACTTTCCCGTAGGAACGCTGCGTTACTGCGTTACTGCGTTACTAAAATCGTGATTTTTTGCGAGAATGTCTCATGACAGTGATGTGCGAAGTTCGTGGCAACAGCTGTGTGCAGATCAACAATGGATAATATATCGATTGTGGGAGAGAGTATGAGCGTGCAGCGTTTAAAGCGTGAAAGTACTGACCTTACTTTGAGTTTGATTGCATAAAAAGTGACAAAAACATTAGTGTCCGTTGTGCGTGGGAAGAAAACTTCTTTTTACAGCAAAAAAACCCTTAAACTTCCAAGCAAGCACCGAGTGCGCTACGACGTAATGGGAAACTCACAGAGAAACTCGTGGATTCTTCCACTGACTGCTGCGGCACACCTGCACCAGGGTAAACCTCCACCTACCCCACTCCTGCTTTACAGGTGAAAATAGAGCAACAGGACCGCTGAGTCTTTGACTTTATTTATGTTCTGCTGTGTTTTACTTGCATCTATTTGAAAGAGTGA